ATAGAAGAGAATAAGAACTATGATGTTTTGGGTGATCTCTCACACTTGTTCTTCTTGCCAAAAGTAATCTCAAAATAAGCCTCCCCTTTCTTGGGCGAGTTTCCTACATCTTATAAGGGTTTTACAAAAGCTTTCCCGAATTGACACTTTGGCCTCTTAAATTTCTGGACTGTGAATATGTCGCCGCGGCGCTGACCGCGGAGAACACTGACTTCAACCACGGCGCGGACCGCGGTGAGTATGCTGGGCCTTTTTGTCTCCACGTTCCTTCTCTTTTTGCTCTTTTGTGTTTGGGTACTTCTTGAGTGGGTGTTTTCTTCACGTTATTACCTCTAAACACTTCATGTTGCTTCCTCACATCTTATATTCCCTGCGAAACCAAATAGCATTAATTGAAGCATTTTATTGGCAACTTACATTATAAAACAACAACAAAGCATGGGCAATTATGGTGTAAATAACAACTATATAGCCTATTATCAATCACGTCCAACTATGCCTTATAAAAAGGATAAGCAGTCGTTGCAAATATAATCCGGATATTTAGCCCAGAGTCGAATCCCACAGGAACTTAACCTACCAACTACTGTTGTCAGACTCACTGAATTCTCCGAAATCAACTTCCCAGATATTTTGAATAACACTTGGTGATATTTCTACTAACTATAACTGAATAAAATTAAGTAAACTAAGAGCTAACTATGATTGAGTTGTAGACAAATAAAAGAAGGGTCTAAGGTTGTGATTTTCCATATTGATGGAATCCCTTCCTGTTATGTTTCGCATAGATTTGCATAATCGTCCCTATCAACCATAAGCACTCTTGCTACCGTAAATCTCTCCTAAGTAATTACGATAATTTATTAGACGCACTCTCCGGAGTTACGCTAGCTGACTTTTCTTACAGCTCACTTAGATCGCACTCAAGGTTTCGTTATCCCTAATCCCACCTTTAAACTCTCGGTTATTGATTCCTCATATATTTTGGGAGTGGTGTTGTTCAACAACTACCTAAATATGCACTCTCTCCCGAGTAATACATATTAAATAGGCACAGCTAATTGAGGATCATATCAATTAACTACAAAAAGAACGCAGTTGAACAAATAGAGATTAAACTGGGCAAACTATATTAACACAACAAGAAGTTCATCCCTCAACAGGTTCCATCAAAACCCTAGACTAAATAATTAGCTACTTATAGTAAAGCAAGATAAAAACATAGAATTATTCATAATTCGCAATTAATGATAACAATAAGAAGATTGAAAAACTCTAATGGTGTCTTGATCTTCTTACACTTGTTCTTGCCTCCAATTTAGTCTAAAAACAAGCTTAACCTTTGCTTGGGCGAGTTTGTTGAGTTTATATAGGGTTAGGATAAGTTTTCCATGATTTACACTTAAGTCCCTAAATTTTTGGGCATTTCCAAAGTCGATAGCGGTCGCAGCAGAACGCGGCATGACCGCGGTGAAATGCAGCTTTATGGTAACAATTGCATTTTGAGCATCGATCAAATTTTCTTGGAGCACTATCTTCTAATACATGTTTTTTCCCCTTAATATTTTGACATAGAAAGAAAAAAAATCAAGTGAACATTATCCAAAGATATCCTTTGCGCGCTTTTTTAATAATTACTAGTCTTAATGTATGCGCTTTGCGCGTGTACCTTATCTCGCTAAGAAATATTTATTTAAATTTTTCTTTGACTTACAAAATAAAAATAAAAATTCCTGAAGATGATGAATATTGATTGTGTATAGCTGATTACATTTTTATTCAATAAGAATTTCTTTTTCAAATAGTAAAAATCGATTAGGTGAAAAATTATCCATGACATGTTCCAAAAAGAATAAAAATTCTTTGTAGATCTCAATAAATAAATAAATATATAAATGATATATAATTTATCATTTGTTTGATCAATAACTGAAAAAAGAATACTGGCATTTCGTTTGGAATAAAGTTTCGTCTAAAATTGAATATGTATATTAAATCTTAGATAAAACATCATAAAAAAATTATATATTTTGCGATAAAAATTTTATGCCTAGACTCTTTTTTACTTGTCTTCTTGACAAGTAACGTTTTGCCTTAAAAAATTTGATTTTTAGTACGACTAATTATACTTATGTTAAATACTTCAATTAGGAAAAGAATTTATGTAAGGTCAATTTTAAGTGATTTTAAAGTCCTAAATATTACAATTATGTCCAATGTGAATTTTTTTTTAAAGGGTAAAAAAGGCGAACAACATTTCACTAAGGACCTTCGTGCTTTTAATATAGTTGTATAGATATAGAACATTGAATGATTATTTGGTCAAAAAGTCTAACGTGATAGTAAAAAAGCAAATAAGATATAATTATTCTACTTGCAAACACATATACTATATTTCATTTAAATTAAAGTAGAGCGAAAAATACAATGGTTTCACCCTATCCATATAATGCGGTTTGTATATACTAAAAGAAGAGAGCCGCCCTCACCTCACCCATATGCAAAACAGCCAAAATAGGAAAAAGTAAGAAAATGAGGTGTGCTATAGTGACGAGAGCTGGATAGCATATATATGCAACTCAATGTTCCAACTGAGATACTATTTTGTACATTAAAAAATAGACAATTTAATATTAGTGACTTTTTCTATGATTTAAAGTGGTGACCTATGAAACATATGTGTTGAAAATGCTCAGGTAAATTGGGGNCCTATTCTTGAAGACTCTGCCTTGTTCCATTTCCGTTACTGTCTTTTTGCTCTAATTTAGTAATCCAATGAGTATTGTTTTATATAGTATAAAATATGTTCAAAAGATAATTATATATACGTAACAGTTTTTAATAATTTAAAAAATAAAGTAAATTTTCTATTACAATATGTTGATATAGTATTTATAAGTTACAAATTCTTATTTCTATTCATTTATTAATTTTTGAAAATTGAACCGGAAGCTTCTAATTAAAAATTACCTGATGGAGATATCATAGTAAAAAAAATTACTAGTAACGACAAGAAGCTAATAACAACAACAACAACGATCCAGTATAATCTCACAAGTGGGGTATAGGGAGGGTAATATGTACGCAGACCTTACCCCTATCCCGAAGGATAAAAAGGCTAATGGATAATATATTATGACAATGTTGATACACACAAACAAAGATGCTCCTCTAGTTCCCCAATCCCACTACTCTCTCTGTCTTCACTCTTCACTCTCTTTTCTGTTTCCTTTAACTTTCCCGCTCTCTCCTCTTTTCCTCCACATTTTCTTTCTTTTACTCTCTCTCCCTCTCTCATATGTTTGTGTGTTCTTTTTCCACCTGTCTGAATTTCTTATTCTTCTCGAAAATCATTTGGGTTGGAATTTACCTTAAAATTTGATGGGTTTGACGAAAATAAGGAGAGATGAATAACAGATTCCGGCCACCTATGCAACCCAAAAAAGTTCCTAATTTGCATCCTCAATATGTGAGTTCTTTTATTCAATTTTGATATGCATGAGGTGATTATGCTAAATAATTGTGATTCCTCTTTTTCCCTGTTTCATTCTTTTTGGCCATTGTCTTGAGATACTAAATTATTAACTGTCGTCTGTAGTCTGTACTGGCAAAAGTTGTCATCTTTGAATCCAATATATCTGATTCAAAGATATATCTTCAAGACCCCTTTTGCTTAAACAGCTCATTATAGTTAATTGACTCTGAAATAATTCTTGATAGGAGAAAAAGATGGAAATGCAGCAAACCAAATTCTTGTCTGCGGACAAGTCCAGAGTCAATCGGCGTCAAGCAGCAAGAGACAGAAAATTAGCCTTACTTCAAGATGTATATTCTTATCTCTTCTTTTTATTCTGAAACTAGTTTCCATATTTGGCCTTGAGGTCTTAATATACTCGTCTGTTTTGCCTTTCAAATTTGGCAGGTTGATAAGCTAAAGAAGAAGCTGAGGCATGAAGAAAATGTTCACAGAGCTTTGGAGAGGGCTTTTTACAGACCTTTAGGAACTCTACCGCGCCTTCCTCCCTATCTTCCCAAATATGTTAGTAGTGTTCTTACAAATATTACTTCTACCTCTTGATAAAGAAAAGATGTTTAAAGTGTCCCACATTGGTTGAGGAAATGAGTTGTTGACTCCTTATATTGTCTTTGGGCGATCCTCACCTCATAAGCTAGATTTTGATGTTGAGTTAGGCTCAAGGTCCATTTATTTAACATGGTATCAGAGCGAGGTCAATTCCTATTTTTGGTTAACTAAATGTTGAGCTCTCATTTTATATTTGTCCATATGCAGGGGTGTTAAGTTCCTCATTGGTAAAGGGAATGGGTTGTTGTCTCATTATACAGTCTCGGGCAATTCTTACCCGATGAGCTAGCTTTTGGGATTGATTAGGCAGAAGGACTTTCTTAAAAAATACTAATAACAGAATTATCCATACAGTTGAACTTTCAACTGCTTAAAAGTTTTAGTTCTGGACTAAAAATTGACCTTCAAATTTGTGCGATGACAATAATGCAGACTCTAGAGCTTCTTGCTGAGGTAGCTGTTTTGGAAGAAGAGGTGGTCCGGCTTGAGGTACAGGTTGTTAATTATAGACAAGGTCTCTATCAAGAAGCAGTTTCCACATGCTCAAGGAGAAATGCTGACGACAACCATTTGCCTGATTCATGCCCTCAGTTGCCGGGTAAAGGTCCTAAACAAAGGCATTCAAGATCATTATCCTTGAGCGAAGTCAACCTTGGGTCATGCGTATCACGGCCTTCTCCTTCTCTAGATAGGAGTGCTTCAAGTAGAAAGTTGTATTTAAAAGAATCAGTCTTTGATAGCTCGAGGATTTGCTCTGATAACACATCAAATAGCAGACAAGCTGTTATTAAGAATTGCAATGACTCATTGGAAGATAGCCTAGGAAAAGAGAATCACTCGTCTGATACTTATACTAAACATAAGCCATCTCCACAAAAGCAAGTCAACACGATTAAGACCTTATCAAAAAGGCCTCCAGTCAAACCTGAATCGGTAAGTAAAATAGCAGATGTTCAGTGCAGAGTTGTAGAAGAGACACAAGAGAGCTGTTTAGCTTCTTTAGATGAGAGGGAATTGGAAGCTGAAACCACAGAAAACAAAATCTCTGAAGACATTATAAAGTGCTTGTCTAGCATCTTATTAAGGTTGAGTACATCTAAAGGGAAGATAGCAAATCCAGAATCTTTTTGCTCTTTAGGAGCAAAAGTTTTCAATGAAAGCAACGGAGAAAGAGAGTTACAAGATCCGTACTCCATCTGTTCAGAACTCAGGAAGCAAGATATTGGCAGATACAGATATATACTTAACATAGATGCTAACTCTGTTAATCTGAACCGGAAAATGAATGCTTCGTTTCTGATTCACAGGCTTAAGTAAGTTTCCGGCCTATCTTTCATTTTCTAGTAATTACGAATAAGGAGTCTATAGATTTGCATGTCCTTATTGTGCCTTCTTCCATTTTAAACATAAGGATACTCCTCGGCAAGCTATCATCTGTGAAATTAGAGGGTTTGAGCCATCAGCAGAAGCTCGCTTTCTGGATAAACACATACAATTCCTGTGTGATGAATGTAAGGGGCATCTTTTTTAAGCAAAAATACCAAGTAATATCTCACTCGATTTAGGAAATAATTTCTTTTGTCGTGAATTCTCAGGCATTTCTAGAGCTTGGGATTCCAGAGACCGCTGAACAAGTTGTCTCACTAATGCAAAAGGCAAGTTATGCGGTCATTCTAGTCCATTTTTCTTCAAATATTGCTGATGCTACAGTTGATTCGTTAATACATGTTTCTGCTTTATAAAGTTGTAAATATTAATCTTTGGGCTGCATTTATGCCTTCTTGTGTTCAAAATTTTTCTAGAACTCCTGGATCAGTTAAAACTATCCGGCTTGTAGATTTTTCTGATACTGCAGCAAATGAATTCCAGAATCTGTTAACTTTCTGAATATTCTTCATCAGGCAACAATTAATGTGGGAGGGCATTTGCTAAATGCAATCATGATAGAGCACTTCATCTTGAGGCTTCCATACCACTTAAAATATGTAAGTTAACATTTCCATGTTCCTTAATCTGTTCGCCTTAAGTGTGAGCTTAGAGCAATTTTTTTAAATCTTTCTTTCGTTCAACAAATTCTTAAGCTATTTTCCATCACTTGAAAGACCTGTTCAAAGTCAATGAAAGACAACGAGCTGAAGGTTCGCAGTGTTTTTGGCTTGGAGTGGTCCGAACCTCTTGTCACATTTGCACTCTCCTGTGGAAGTTGGTCCTCCCCTGCAGTAAGTTCGTCGACCATTTTCATAACCTTCTCAGTTTTAGTGGAATCATAGGGTTGATTAATCATTTTTCCGAACTAGAAACTTCAAAAGGTATAGCTTTCTGATGTGTCTTGAGATTTTTTTTAATTAAAGGTAATGTTTTCTCAACATAATTAGAACTTTCTTCAATCAAATAAAATGGCTACAAAAAGAAATCAGGTAATTGCACTAATGAAGAAGTAAACAAGCTTAATTTTTCATTGTAAGGTGTATAATGATTTGGTCAATCTTTCATCTTTTGAAGTCTCTCTGACTGAGAAAGAAGTACGTCGTGAGAGAGAGAGTGCGCTTTAATATTCCTATCACTAGGCTCTTCATTATAAAAAAGGAAAATTTTATCACTAGGTTCATTGATATTCTATTGCTGCTAATAGTTGAGACGGATTGTAATTAGTTGGTATCGATCTTTCTGTTAGCCCTATTGTACTGCCAACTTAATGTCTCAAGGGTCAATTTTATGTCCAGTAATTCTAATTCTACGTTGTAATCTTTTATATTCTGAAGGTGAGGGTGTATACTGCATCTCAAGTAGAGACGCAGTTGGAAGCAGCAAAAAGAGACTATTTACAAGCAGCAGTTGGTATTTCAGCAACAAATAAGCTCATAATCCCAAAGTTGTTGGACTGGTATCTTCTTGATTTTGCCAAAGACTTGGATGCATTGCTAGATTGGGTGTGCCTCCAGCTGCCAGATGAACTTAGAAATGAAACTATTAAATGCCTCGAAAGACGAGGAAGAGAGCCTCTTTCACAATTAGTACAAGTAACGCCTTACAATTTCAGCTTCAGGTACCTTATACACCAATAAAGTGAAAACAATTACTAGCACACGACAGAGTACACGTATATGAGAAGCATACAGATTCAGACTGAAGTGGTTTTGGACATAGTAATGGTCATTGATATTGTTCCAGATACCAGTATAGAATGTAGGAAATTCAAAATTACACAATTCTTTGTATCCCCTGGAGAGTAATAAGCTCAACGAGATCATACTGTCAAGAATCTAAATAAAAATGTTGTGTTACTGAAACAGGATGTGGAATCAGAGTATATTAAAAGTGTAGCGTTAAATTCTGAGTACTCAAGGTGGTTTATGTTCGACTACATTTTTCAGGCACTGCCGTTGTACATTACTGTCTCAATTCGTTTGACAGTATGAATATTTGGAGTCAATTTTTTCTTTGATTACAATTTGCCACACACTTTATACTACAAAAATTAGTGATCTATCCTCTATGGTACTTATTTTTATAGTCTTGGGATATGTAAATTTTATTTCAAAAATAAAAATAGAGATTAGATGCATCGATGCTGTTATTCTGAATCCTTGACTTTTGACATCCAATGCGAGCTCTAGCTTGAAAAATGTTTATTGTATCATACAAAGTCGGGGATCTCATCTTGAAATTCACTATGCTTAGTCGAGAAGTCATGTAATTGAAAGTATCTGACGATATAAAATCATGTTAGTGAGGTGTCAATTTTTCCGCTTCACTTACTCTTTCTCCTGTATTGCTTTGGCTTAATCAAATTTGTTAGAATTATCTAAACTAAACCCTAAATATAGTCTATGAAGTAGTTTTTGTTTCAGTCAACAAAAGAAACAAACAGGTAAAATGAAAGAGGACAGAAATGGGAAGATGGAAAATTGGATTGCAAAACATAACGACACAGTAGTAGGGTTGTGTAGGAATGAAAAGTTTTGATGTTTATAACGAAATTTTCAACTAGTACTGTCCTTTCATGTAAACTTTTTGGACCATGTTTTATAGAAAGATGTGCTGTTGGTTGTCCAGAGTCGCTAAAAGAGACATTCACGGACCGACAAATAAAATCACGGCATAGTCGTTGAAGATGTACCAAAAAAGAAAAACAGAACTAAGAAAGTAAATAACGACTTCTGCACTCATACAGTTTCATCAGAAAACAAGAAAAACCATCTTTTAATGTGATTAGCGGCAACGGCTATTTCACAAAATAAAATAGTAGCTTTTTTTTTTCTTTTCCCGTCTACGATCAATGTGCATGTGTATTTCAGTACCCAACACCCAAATTGTTGTCACGCTAGACGAAACAAATTTGGCAACAAAGGAAACTTAAGATGTCATTTGTTCAGTTGTAATAAAAACTAGGTGCCACGGTGACATCTATGTTTCTCTTTTTTGCAGTGGGCATAAGGTCCATGGGGATCAGTGTTTTACAAGGGCTAACATCCGTGGGAAGATAAACATTGTTAATATTTATATCAAGATGTATTACAGGAAAGATCATACAAAAGAATACCTGCTAATAGCAAAATTTCGAAGACAACCTACGGAATCCTGAATGCTCGAACTAGTCACACAAGGCCAAACTAGACAAGGGAAACATGAGAGCAAAAAGGAAAGAAAAGATAATTGAAGAAACAAAAGAACACCAGATACAAAATGGAGGACTACACTATGTACAAACAATTGCACTATGCTAACACCAACACCAAGCACCACCACCAATTGCAGAATTTCCAGAGGAAATTATGCTTCAAACGTTTTCATAGCAGACTCATATCGATCTTGAAAGAGATACACTAGCTAGAATTAAATCGACCGGTAATCTTAGCCAAATGGAGAGGGAACAGGAACCACAAGTGAATCCGATCTTTTGATGCTTCCCATACCACATATAATGCAGCCAGGTGATGACAGAGCAGAGAATTTGGCCCCACATAGGTCGCAGACATCATAACCAATAGTTGATAGACGGCTAAGTGTTGCAGCACAGAACTGGGAGGGATCTTCTAATGGATCAATTGACTTGTTGGACAAGCCCCTTTGAACACATATATCAACCAAGCTCCTCAATTCGTCTTGCTTGCCTGGAGGTGCCTTAGATAGTAGAAGTTCGAGCATCTGCTTGGAATAACCGTAGTTCTGTACATCCATGTTCCTCTTGATAGCAGTTCGAATACAATTTATCCTGTGCTTAGCCAGAAGAGGCAGTGAACCCAAGTGTCGAGACAATCGCGCCATTTCATCCTTCGCACTGATTGCACTTGGGCCCTGGACTCTCTGCAGTCGGCTGATTTCCTGCAGAGAAGTGACAAAGGACTTAAAGCCACCCATCCAAACAAAGCACGAACTCTAATGAAAACCAAGTGATATTTGCTCAATGTTGCTGTTGGCAAGTAAACAAAAGCTTCCCTTTTGCAATGAAGCTTAATTTTATACTCTCATGCTGTCTGTTTACAAAGGCTATCTGAAACTACCTCTTGCATATGTCGTAGGGACTAAACAAGCAGTGGGCTTGTTGCATTAAACTCTAATGTGGGAAATTCTCTTGAAAAGTTGAAACCAACAGCATTTTGGAATGAAACAGAAGAAAGGAGGGGAAGGGGTAGCTAGAGATTATAGGGCTAATTGCACTTTTTATCCCTTCGCAAATTCCAATTTTGGTCCTTGTGTACCTGCCTAAACATATTTAACCTTCTAAAAGTATCAGTTGTGCACTTTTGAAACTTCCACTGACAAAATCTCTGTAAATTTACTGAATCTTTAAATATAAAAAGAACTAAATATCTATCTTTTATATTAAAAGAAAGTAATTTTGATAGTTTTACTTGTTTTAAGTGAATTGTTAGTGGACAGGTTAAAAATGCACAATAACTAATTGAATGTTAAATGTGTTTAGCAGGATATCACAAGAACCAAAACTGCAATTTCCTATCAACTAAGGGACGAAGATTGTAATTTTCCATTTTTTTAGTATTGCTGTTCTGTCTCTAGGATGGGAAAGAGGGACTGTAGAAAGGACTAGGTTTATACTCAAGTTGCAGAAGCTAGCAACTTGTATTAGGCGCTGAGAAGATTCCCTTTGGTAACTTTTAATGCAATATAAAGAGAGCATAAGTGACATCAACTAATATGGAAAGAAGCAGGAGGATGGTAAAACAGACAGTAGAGAACTGTTACTCTCCCAGCTGTGAGCCAAGTCACCCAAAGAATGCACAGGGAAATTAAAATGAAACATCATTTAGGACAAAGTTAAATAGTCCATTTGGCAACGTAGAACACTGTTTCTATTTGGTAAATGCTCAGGTACCTGAAGCAGGGTGACTGCAATTTTGTATTGTGCACATATTGTGGCTTGAGCCTTTATGTCAGCTCCACGAGATTGATCCTTAGCCAGTGCTAAGAAAGCTTCATCAAAACAGGACAATGCATCTGGCAGCTGATTTTGCTCAAGATGGGCAAGACCAGTCTTGAAGCAAACTGGAGCAGCAGCCCCACGAGGAACCTATGACAAAGAAAGATGCAAATCGTAAGAAAATGATGAGGATTCTGCTTGGACATATTTGACCACAAGACTTTCAACCGACACTAGTGCTCAAGGACTTCCTCACTGTTTCACTATAAATCCTTGTTGTATTTAGTTCCTTGAACCCGATAAAGGTTGATCCTTAGAATATACACCTTAACAGAACCACTATGTTCTTTGTTGTTAAACTTATTTCTTTATCTTCTTAACCTTTGACTTCCAATTCCCTTAACAAGTTAAAAAAAAAATTCACACATCGCTTGTTTAATCCTGATTTGCAACGATAAGGTTTAAAAAATGAAGAACTTTCTTGGAGTACCCAACTTTCTCAGCATCTTTGTATGTTCTAAATTCTAATAGAAGGGATTTCCCTTCTCTAGGGCAACTCAATCATATCCAAATTGGTCAAATTAGAAGAATAAGGTAAGCTAATTGGTGTGCAGCATTACATTTTCTCTTACCAGAACGCTCGATATTCAACCATGACCTAATGACAACAAATCACTGAATATTAGCAATCGAGTAAGGGTCCTATCCTGAGGCTTCGCTGTACCTCCTAACACTCCAGCGGATCAGAAATATCAACTAAGCATTACATAACCACCTCACCAACTTAGTGAAGAATCTGATGACAAAACCAACTGCTGGATAAATAAAAAAACCAGCTGTCTGTGCTTAACATTATCAATTGTGCAAACCAAAAGGAGTCCTAGAAAATTCTTCATGCTACTACCAACATATATAGCATTCAAAAGGCCCAATTTCCTTCTCATGCGCCAGCATTTGTACAGAGAAACGAAACAATGTTAATGCTTACTATCAATTTTTCCATAATTACTAATGATCCAGACAAATTCAGTATGAACAGGAATTGGTCACACTTTGAAATTCCTTAGTCAATGCAGGAATTCAGTATCCAGACAAATTTACTATTTAAGAGTGGAAAAGCATACTTACTTGTCCAGGTCGCACGGCTTTTGGAGGAGAAGGTGGACGTACCGAAGGTTGTCCTGAACCTGGAGCTTCAAGAGAACTGAGATCAAGAGGTTGGTTGGATACTGGAACTTTTGACATCTGAACATGAGGTTGCATGCCAGAAGGCTGAGTGAAGGGCTGTGGAGGAACGCCACCATCAGGAAGACCAACCACCTCAAGTGAAACAGGTGGTTGAGTAGCTTGAGGGGGAACACCACCATCAGGCAGACCAACATCAGCTACAGATGCACTACCCTGGTTAGGTTGCATTTTAGTGGCTTCAGCAACTTGAGAACTTTGATCCAGCTTGGAAAGGAAAGTCCCCGGAGGAGGCAATGATGCCGCAACCTGGAGGGATGATATAGTATTCTGGAAGAAGTCCTCTGGAATGGGCCCTGCAGTAACTCCAGCACCCGCTGCCTTAGGAGCTAGATTCGGCATAGATGCAGATTGGGTCAATGAATTTGTTCCAAAAATATCGGCAGATGTAGAAACCATTGGAGTTGTGACTGGTCCAGTGGTTGCAGAAGAAGGTTGAGGTACAAGAAGGCCAAGATCTGGGGATGAACCAGTTAATGACTTTGTTCTACTGATCGGCAGGCCCAACTGTTTTGTGGCTTCTTTAATCTTGTTCACGTCCACTGTAGCAGATGTAACAGGCTTGTCTCTAATTCGTATGTGTAGTTTTTTCGTTTTTGACGTTTCTTCTTCATCACTGCTGGTACCATCAGCAGCAGATCCATACAGTGATTTCTTGAATTCTTCTTCTGCTTTTGTTTGCTCATCTACCACACTAGACCTGGCAACTTGCTTGCCAAGGCTTTCTAGTCCCATTAACATATCACCCTTGATTTCACCCTCAGCCAACCCTTTGGACTGGTTAGCTGTTGATGCAACTATAGCTTTTTGAGGTCCATTTGCCTTGTCTTCACCATTTTCAGCTTTAAATGCTTTCACCAAACTATCTTCTCTCACTTCTACAACATTACCTCTTCCTTTTATCAAACCAAGGTAAACACCTATATGATCCGTGACAATTGATGGAATTGTACCATCATCAGTTCTCATGTATGGCATCACCTCAGCAGCAAGCTCCCACTGAGGAATGCTCTTCAGATTAGTTGGTGTCTTGATCTCCCAATTACCACCACCCCATTCTGGTCCTTTAGGGACCATACTTTCAGCTGCAAAGTTTGCAAAGATACCTTGTGTCCAACCAGTTGAGCGCACCCTAAGGATCCTTTCACAATATCGTCGTAATTCTGAATCTGCACCTTCGTCTTCCAGTTTCTGTGCTAGTCGCCGCATTGCACTTGGGTTAAGGTGGCCTATAAATAGGTCAAGCATGCTTTCGTAGTCTGATATGACTTCAAAAGTTTCTTTAGCACTGTCAAACTGAGCATATCTGCAATCTCAAAATATAATCCAATATAAGAATGAGTGTAGTAAAAGTTGCTGGAATAAGATAGGAGCATATCAATTTTGCACCAGTCTCCCTGAGAGTTATCGAGTAATTGAGGGTACACAAAATCTCTGCCGGATAAGGAAAAGGTGGAATCTGGAAAAGTATTCTCTAAGGGTAATGCAATTGAGTGAAATTCATTTTGTATCGTACAAAAAAGGAATTCCATTTGTGTATGTGCTCCCGATAAACAGAAATAAGGTACTCTATTCCACTACATACATGTATCTACACATTGGACATTTGAAAGTATTGCAAATATTTTTACTTAATTGACGATGTAGACGAAAAACAAACTGCAAACATTACCAAAGTAGAAATTGTATCATTTTAATTCACAGTAGACTACTATTCCAAGCATATATCAAAGCGGCACACGATGCTCGATGATAAAACTGTTCAATTTGAGCAACACGCAAAAGTAGCAATCAATTTTTTGAACCAACACGTAGCTACTGCTGCTGTCACATGGGCACGTTATTATACGCTGAAACTTGGTCTAACATTCATGTCATATTACCTGTCCTACTAAAGCAAAATCATGTCACACTACTGGTCCGTCTCAGATATTAGGAACAAGCTAATTCACGTAGTTCAAAATATAACAAAGGCAGAGAGCTTTGCTGACATCACAAAAGTAATGGGCAGGTGCCCCTAACAAGCATATGAAGCAGAACATGTTAAACCAGAGTAATTGTTGACAGACTAAAACAAAAAAGACACTGAAGAATAAGATATCAATTTGCGTGACAGTTTATCGAGCATGTCCCAATTTGATTTGCTGGAGAGATAAACCAGTGGCCCTTTCCATTGTACAAGCAAGATTGGTTGGATTAGCTCACTTTTCTGTA